ATTTAACGGAAAATCCGACAGATTTATTACAATAGTAACTATCCAATAGAAGCTTTAGGCGCATGCAAATGTAGTTAATAAAATAAATTAAATTCATTGTATACTGAAGACATGCATCTGCGCTACTGTTTCCGAACAAAGTATATACGTACGTACGAGCAGTGTTGTCAATGGACATGGACATGTCCATGGACTGTCCATGGACATGGACATATAAAAATATGGATGTTCATATCCATGAACATATAAAAATATGTCCATGTCCATGGACATGGACATTGGACATTGTGTCCATGGACTGTCCATGTCCAATAATTTGCTTGGACATATGTCCATGTACAACACTGCCGTACGAGTATGTAACTGGTAACTGACAGTTTATTAGATAGGTAATATCATAAAAAGTATAGAAGCAATCAATATGATGCGTTACATTTTATTTTTTCAGATCGAATAATTTAACGAAAGTTCTATGCTTTTTAGTCGTTCCAAATCGACCAAAATCGACTAATCAATTTTTTTAGTCGATATTTATAAATACAACAAATCCAGTTGATATAATTAAGAGGCCTGATTTTAAATATAAATATAGTATTACACTCGTTTTTGTCTTATAGTTCTAAAATAATCATAAGCGCAAATTCTATATGCGCTCCATATGAGCATTCTTCTTTAAACGCACACCATTGGTCGTCTGATGTAATATATGTAACATTATATGTAAATCATTCTAGAAGTGTTCTTTCCCCAAACAACGTGCACTTATGGATTGACCGATTGACCGTATTATCAATTTGTCGACCTTAGTTGATCATTACATCGATGTGCAAGAGATTGCTTATTATATATTCTTGAATTAATTATTTCCTCTAATTTTTTACAACAATCAAAGAACTTTAACGCATGCAAAATTTAATCTGATTAGCAGATTATTAATATTTACTTTACAGATTAACTTTGAAAATCTTAATAAACAATAATCATTCGTCATAAATTATAATTGGTACTGTAATAACACATAAGCACCAGATAAAAAGATAATTATTGTAGGGGCTGATGCTGAAGTTTTGACTATTTAATTATTAAATTTAAAATTTTTGGGTGCATTTTTTTAATCTTATATAACAGTTTGATTAGAGTTTAGGGTTGGGTTTGCGTATAGGTGGGTTTTAGTAGGCTTTATATGTAGATCTAAAATAGAGACCCCACTATTATTGCATCCATTATTACCTTGCATATTTCTAATCTCGACTAATTAAACTCGATTCTTTAAGGTTGATTACTATCACTACGCCTCACACTATCTCGACGGCTAGTCTTCCATTGACATTTTCACGAATATTTTCTAATTTGTTACAAGTTAACAGTCTATTATAAATATCTCAATAGGCATAATATTAATCGAATATGTCCACTCTATGCATTTTTCCTAACCTGTTTTACCGCAACTTAAAGGAACGATATTAGTTTTATATTTAAACAAAAGTTTTTTGCACTATGAACCTTCTTAACAACGAGTATGTAGCATTTTTAATTTTTTGATATCTTACTTTTCATGATAAATACTTAGGGAAATATAAAAATAGTATTTATAGTATTTATATTTATACCACAAAGCAGTTTAGTGAAGATATCCTACGTGTATGTCGCGTAACTGGGGGTTTTTTTATTGAACGGCACGTGGAATATTCATCGAAATAGATATAGTGATATCATGGTATAATATATTACATCAATAGCATGCCACAAAAAATTATCAAAAGTGTACTATACATATAAATACTTTTTTTTACCCTTATCATACACGTAGTTGCGAATGGGGTTGGGTCAAAATCCCGACAAAGTTAACCAGGATTAGCTTAATAGGAGATTTAGAATTAATGTTCAGATTTCTGATTTAAAATTAAATTAGCGCGTATTTGCTTTGAAATAAGTGATTTATAAGTTATATATCATGAAAAATACACCTATTTCATTTTCTACTTTCGAAATTCAAAACAAAAATGGAATTTTTAAATTTCTCTTATTTTCGAAATAATTTAATTCTGAATCTTCCTAATATTGGCCAATTTTTTAGAAATTTCGACTCTTATTTTCGGGATTTTGAAACCCGTTGCGAATAGGCAATAATTATCGACAGTAATTATAACATAAATAAGAACATAAGTAGTCAAGTTTTTTTTTTAGATGTATTTACATTCGCTTGGAGTGCACACGCCAATTAATTTGAGATAAGCACGTCTAGTGTGTGTGCGCGTCTTTTTTTTTTTTTTTATCAAGTATACCGATAATAACTTACTATGAATTCACCATATCAACTATGACCATTTTATTAGCATTTAGCAACATTAAAATGCATATACATGAAGTTGTTGAAAATGTTTATGATTTAAATTTATAAAAATACAAAGCTTAGTTTTACAATTCACAAGTTTTTTGATTTATTGTAGATAACCGAAATCATCAATCGATTAACCGACCTGGTACATTCGAGAATATTTCAGTTAGCCTTTATTAATCGGGTAAGTAAGCTGGGCCAACTGCACTCGGAGATTATACCGTAGAGTCACAAAGTGTCCTGTATAACATCTGTTAATCGAGTCTTAGCCGGGTGACCCGAATTAATTTTCCGCAAATCAATCAGCAAAATCGATATACGTATATACGTAATATTGCATCTAAATAGTACGCCGATTTTAAGATCAGGATCAAAATAAATGATATAATAATACGAATGATCACTTCTATGAGTTTCGAAATGGAGTATTTCATAAAATAGGTAGTATTTTTCAAATAGCATTCTAACAACGTAGAATACATAATCTAGCAAATGGCATACAATAAGGTTTCTTAATTTTAATTTAAATAGTTTATATTTCGAGTATCGAATCTGTAATTGTTGAAGAGTTTGGAACTGAATTCATTTTTTTAACGAATTTAATTAATTAGTGATCTTCAGCTTCAAGTTTAAATTCGAGTTGTTATAGCAGTTTGCAAAAAGGTGTAATCCTGTAATTTATGTAATGAGATTCTAAATAATCTATCAATTATATATTCAATCAATAGTATTCCGAAGGTCGAATCTGGTTCCAAGGTCAAATAAGAATATCCGTATTTCACCACAATCAGTTCATAGCAATGTTGGACTACATATCTCTAGTAAAATCATATGACATTGCATTGTCATTTGATTTTACTAATTGAACTTAGTGATACGTATGACCTTGTCATAGTCCAACACTGGTTTATAGAAACCTTATTTCACTGACATCATTTTACACAGATAATCAATTCGCAAACAAGTTATTTCACAGAAAAGTTTTTCTTTATAAGTTGCACTAGCCTTAACTATAGATCTAACCTAAATGACAATGACTAGAATTACTTTGTGAAATGAGCTGTCGATGAAATAAATTGCCTATGAAGTGATCTGCCGGTAAAATAAACCATGTATGAGATAGACTTATCTATGAATTGATTGTGTGTAATGTAAACTTATCTGTAATTAATTGTCGGTGTCTACAAAGCGATTGTCCACGAAGTGAGCAGCACCGATCAGATCAGGGATCATATAAAGTATGTAGTTTATCACGGTATGCAAATGATGTATCTTTGAGATCGCAGTTCACGTGTAAAATCACTTGATTGTTGTTCGATTGTGCGATCGTAAAGTGATTTTTTTAATGAAAATTCAATGCAAATATAATTTATGACTTCCCTAATGAGTACATTCAAAACTAAATTGAAATGGATAAAATTTCACTAAAATGGATTTTTTCAACTCTAAAAACCCAATATTTCGATTGATACTCGCCTACTAGAAATATTTTTTGATCAACTTTGAAATAGAATAAATTAAATGAAAAATGAATAGCTATTCTAAATAATTCATTTGTCAAATTATCGATTAATCAACGTAAATACTGTAAAAGAAATTAGATGCGCTCACAGTACTTTAAATATCTTAACGATAAATTAGAATTAAATAGTTTATCTTTATTTTGAATGGTCGTTATTGACTAAGTTGACGCAAATAACTGTCAGAAAAGGAATATATAGTAAAAAATATAATATAGTTAAATGAGTATAGTAAACTTTGGTATACATAATGTATAGTAATATACCGAAAGTATAACTTTGCGGTTTAAATTATACAGTATGTATATTTTTTTATGGCATTTATTTACATAATATATAGCTTGAATCATGTGTTATACTTATTACAGCTTTTCAACGAGTTTGGATCTAAACGAACGATACAATTCATTGCATTGATTTAAACTCAAAATAACAAAAATATTTGTTAGTTCTTGTGATTTTAGCAGCTATTATTTCCGATTTCATGATAAATGTGTTATCAAATACTGAAATAATGCGATATCTCGAGAACAGTTGTGCCTTTTTTAATGATTTTGGATTAAATGAATACTTCAAATCTTAGCATTCATTTAAGCCAATATCATCAAAAACAGCATAGCTACCCTTGAATTACTTTACATAATGATGGAGGATTTCAAGAACTGGTGATCCGTTTCCTCATCTTTTATTGTTTCATCTCCCTTTGCAGTTTCATCACCTTTCATTAGCATTTCATCATTTAAGATTTTAATTGGCGAAAGACGAAATTAGGTTGCGCGTTTCATCAGCGTGAAACCTCCAGGTTTCGTCTAAATTTATTTTTCCGGCGAAATAATAATGAACGTTGATATAAAACTAAAGATTGTAACTTAAAACTTTTAAAATAATATATTATAAAAATGGAAAAATCTAATCTTACACGTAGTGTATGTACACGGGGTATGTAAATCGTTACACAATCAATGCAAATATTTGTCGATCGTGTAACAATTACACTGAAACATTACGTATGTAAAAAAAAATAGAACTTATACTAGCTTTGACGTTAGTATTTTATATTTCTCTTTCTTCCATTAGCTTTTTAACCTCTATTGAATTTCGCGCTTTTTGAATGATACAATACAAGAAAAAAAACCCCCGAAATGGATGATACAAACCTTAATGCTATTTTTGATATTTACTTATCGTCTCCATCGTATACTCACGTGAGATATTTCAACAACGCTTCATAATATTTGCCCATTTAATTGTACAAAAACGTATAGAAAAACCAATCTCAAAATTTATACTGTATTTTGCCTTCATTATTTAGGCCTTTGAACGAACAACAAATGATCTGACTTGCGTCAGTAATTTTAATGATCTAAGTGCTTCTTCTTCGTCACTGCAGTTCCAAGTAACATAAATTTATATCTTGTGTTGTATTTCCCAGCGTGCATCTATTTATATCCTACCTTTTAGAAACTTAAATTATCTACCTTGTCTTATTATTTAGGGCTATGAACGAACAATAAACGATCCGACTTGTGCCAGTAATTTTATGACCTAAATGCTTCTCTTTCATATTCGCCGCTGCAGTTCCAGGTACATATACTGTATTTATCACTTATGTGTTGTATTTTTCAGAGCGTATCTTTTATATCTCGCTTTTTTTAGACTTCTGAACAAGCAATAAATACGGCTGATACGAATTACGAAGATGCATTTTATGTGATAAATGCTTTTCCATCCCTATCATCTTCATCTCAGGTTCACGTGATATAATTGCTGTTTTATTTGCGTACTTCACACTAATTGAACTATCTGATAACCTTTTTGCATATCTCTTTTTCATTATATAGACCTCTGGACAAACAAAAAATAATTCAACTTGCACCAGTAATTTTCATGATCAAAACGCTCCTCTTTCATCTTTGTTGCTGCAGCTTTATGTAACTATATTTATTGCCTTTTGTGTTGTGTTCCTCAGAGTATATCTCATCTATTCTGCTCTTTCAGGCTTTTGAACAAGCAAGAAATACTACAGATGTGAATTTCGAAGATGTATTTTATGAGAAAAATAATTTTTCATCTTTCTCATCCTCACTTCAGGTTCATGTGATACACCTATTTTTTCGTTTTAGTTACTATACCTAATTGAACTATCTAATTTTTTTTTTTTTTTTTTTTGCAATCTAGGAAGATAAATCTACTTTTTATGAGAATTTAAATGCTTCTTGTTCTTCATCACAGATTCAAGTATATATCTCATATTTTTCATCCTTACTTTAGGCTCACGTAATACACCTACTTTCTACTGTTTCATTTAGTTAACTATCTAATTATGTTTTTTTGTTTTTTTTTGCTGTCTAGACTTCTGAGGAAACAAATAACGTTGAAATGGAAGTGAATCTATTTTTCATAGGGATATAAATGCTTCTTGTTCTTTGTCGAAGCTTCAAGTATATATCATATTTTTACTTCGGGCTCATGTGATACATCTACTGCCTACTGTTTCATTCGGTCAACTATCTAATTATGTATTTAATTATACTTTTTTTTGCTATCTAGACTTCTGAGAAAACAAATAATGTTGAAATAGAATGTGAATCTACTTTTCGTGGGGATATAAATGCTTCTTGGTCTTCATCGCAGATTCAAGTATATCATATTTTTCACTTCGGGCTCACGTGATACACCTACTGCCTACTGTTTAATTCGGTCAACTATCTAATTATGTATCTAATTATGCTTTTTTTTTTTGCTATCTAGACTTCTGAGGAAACAAATAACGTTGAAATGGAATGTGAATCTACTTTTCATGAGGACATAAATGCTTCTTGTTCTTCGACCTTAAGTGATACCGCTTCACATAATGATAGTGAAGCAGAAGAATCTAATCCATTAGAATTGAAATCTGGCCTTACCTTTCTTAGCTGGGAATCATTTAAAAATTGGCTCCATAGATTTGCATTGAAAAAAGGTTTTAATTATAAAGTTAGAACAAGTGAGACGGTTGAAGGTGTGTTGCGAAAGGTTATATATGAATGTATGAAATCAGGCACAAATAATCCACAAGTTACCTCAGATCCAACTCAACACCGAAATACTACTTCTCAGTGAATATGCTGCCCTTGGAGACTTAATGTTACCTGTCCAAAGACCAATAACATTGTTAAAATTAATATATTTGTTAAAGTCATAATCATCAACTTACCCCAATGGTACAAGAATTAGCTTCACGTTTTCAAAAGTTAATAGCTGAAATGTTAGTGGATATTAAGAAGTATGCGATTGAAGGTCGAATGGATTCGAAATCTATTTACCCATTGCTTAAGCATGACTACCCAGAAAATCCAATTCATAAATATGATCTATACAATGCAGTATATCAATTTCAGTGTGAGAACAATTTAGATAATTTGGATGCTTCGCAGATGCTTCAACTGTTGTTAGAATGGAAGAATTTAGAGCCTCTTTGGGTTGTAAAACTTCGACTAGAACCAATTTCAAAAAAATTAAATTCTCTTTTATGGATATCTCCTATGCAATGAGATATATATAGCAAATTTCATGATGTTATGATTTTAGATACAACTTACAACACCAACCGGTTCCAGATAATGCTTTGTATCTTAACCATTATTGACAACAATTATAGAACTCGAATTGTAGCATGTGCTATTATTGAAGACGAAACATTGGACACTTATAGATGGATATTTGAAAGTATCTATAATGAGACTGGCATTTCCCCCAATGTTATCTTTACTGATTCCAACCCTTCAATGATTCAATCAATCAAAGAGGTTTATCCCAATACCCAGCATCTTTTATGTATTTTTTATATCAATTTAAATCTTAGAAAAAAGCTTAAGGGTAAATTATGTAATAGCTTTGAAGAATTTTGTCGCACATTTTATTTATGTCAGAATTTTCTATCAGAAGAGTTATTTGAATTGCGATGAGTTCAATTGATTAACAAATATCCTACAGCGGCAAAATACTTACAGGATATGCTTTATACTACTAAAGAGTCTTGGGCGATTCCCTGGATACATAAACAATTTACAGCAGGAGCTCAAAGCATACAGAGAATTGAATGTATTAACAAATATATTCATAGCAAAGTGAATCATGCTACATCTTTGTGTGATTTATTGTTAAACATTAAAGATCATGTAAAAAATGAAGAACATATTACAAGTTTTGACGCTAAACAGAATATACTACCCACGATTGGCATGCCTATGTTAAATACCTGATTTTTTGGGCAAGTTGATAGTATTATTAAGGAGTATTTGACTCCCATTATGCTTGAAAAACAATGGGATCAGATAAATCAATCAGTATGCTATGATGTTATTAAAGTTATGGAGTGGCAACAGTTACTTAATACAGAAACTGATAATGAAGAGATATGTGTTGAAACTAAAGAAAAAGAACAAGATATACGACAAATTCTCTTTAAGTCTTTGACCTCAAGACTCAATTATTGAAGTGTGGAATGTACATGCTACCAAATCAGAAAGAATTGGCCATTATGTAGTATTGCTTGACGAAGGTACACACCTGTGTACATGTCTTCTCTTAATTAACAAAGGATTAGTGTGTCGGCACTTTTTCCGTGTTGGCACCTACTCTCGACATGCAGTATTTCATATAACTATTATTCCAACACATTGGTATTTAGAAACTGACATTCAAAAGGATAAACTTTTACAAAGATATTTTCCTATTTCAGTGTGCAATATAACAGAATTGAGAAATGATATAGCATTTAAAGATACCATTAATTTTCAATATTTTTCTTCAATTCAATCTAATACACCTATCTCTCAATTTACAACAAATTCGTCTAACACTAATACTAAAGCTATCTATGCGGAATTACTTGGACTATCTAAAAAAGCTATCAATCTTGCTATTGGAGTTAATATTCAACAAGAATTGTCAAATACTTTAAAAAATTTTATTCATGAAACACAGGATTAAATAAATGACCAAGATAATGATCAACAAAATAATCTTCCTACTGCTGACATCAATAATCCTGCTATCATCAAGTATAGGGGAAGACCTCCAAAAAGACTCAAGTCGAATATTGAAGAATCTTCACATAAAGAAAAACGAATATTACAAAATAGTATAAAGGCTAATGTAAAGAATGATGTATTTAATTCTGCGAAAAGCCGAAAATGTGGAAAGTATAAACAGTACGGCCATTACGCAACAACATGTCAAAATTGATTTTATGATCGCTCAATAGTTTAGAGTTATATTAGAATAAGCTATGTAAGATTTGG